TATTAGAAACATATGTGCAAACACCTTGTCAATTGCATTGAAAATGAATTTTTCTATATGAAACTGTGTATTTTAATAATGAAATGGAGATCTTTTTTAAAGGTTAAAACCTCATTTAATTTTATGTCTTATAGGGTTTATACTGAGTAAAATATTGTATAACTGTAACAATTCAACTGTAAACCTAAAAATTTACAGCCAATTTTGAAAAAGATGCATCTTAGCTCAGAAAATTGTTATTGAATATGTCAATGCTGTTGTAATGAAATGCTTCTTCTAAGTATGTGGTTATTAAATAAATAATAAACTGGAAAAAAAGCTGCTGTTAGTCTAATTGATGGTGCTTTAGAGACAGTCTTTAAAACATTCTCTATATTTTTATCATTATTTCAGTAAGATTTTACATATGTGGGTTTCTATTTCTTTATAAATTGAGGAATTTGTTGGGCTTTTTGAATCTGTAGATAAGTATCTCTTGCTGGTGCTGAAATGTCTAAATAATTTTCTCTTCAATATCGCTTTCCATCCATTCTTTCTCTTCTTCTGTCATTCTCATAAATCATATGTTAGAGGCCTTTAACCACTTGCTCATTATTTCTGGTTGGAGTATGCTCAGCTTCATGCTCAGCCATCGATTCAACTCTTTTAGGGGTTTCTTATGCTACATTTTAATTTCTGTTAGACACATTATTGTGGCATTTATTACTACACCATCATAACCTGAACAAATATACTGACTCTTAAATTAAGTTTTTAAGAGTGGGTCCGAACTCAGCGGACGCTAGTTCCCCTGGCTATCTATCAGAGCTGTCTGTCTCCCAGAATTGTGTCCATGGATTTCTTTTGTCCCATTAGCATCAGAAGAGTTCTCTGGAACACTGTTTCTCCCACTGTGTCCCCTGTCAGGTCACACCCATAATTTATTTAAAATGGTTTCTCCATCTTCATTAGGGAAGTGCAAGTTCACGTTTGGCTCCATCCTTAATTCCCACAAATTATCTGGCGTTTTCATCCCTAGTTCACATTAGTCCTTTCCAGCCTCCACTGTTTCCAATGGGGGGAGGGGCTGCTTTCAGCACTTTGAAACGTTAATTCTCAAGCACACACATTCATTCATTTTCTTTTTGGGTAGAGTATCAAACTGAGGTTGCCAAAGAGACATCGCATCATGAAATCCAAGAGCATGGCTTTTCTGTGTTTTAATTAAAAGTCATTAGTCCAGATTATGCCCAATTAATAAGTCATTCCCAAGCTTTAATTTTTAGCTATTACATTTTTCCACATACTGTTTTATTTCCAATCTGCCTTCTCTTTGCTCATAGTTTCTAGCCTCTTTTCCATCTTTTATCACAGTGGGCAAATCTTTTCAGTCCTGTGCCTTTTGTCTTGTCTCTTCTGGCCCTCTTTTGAAGTGTTTGTGCTTTGATACTTTTTTAGTTATTAATCATTTTTTCTTACTGTTTACACTACATTCTTTGGGCTGATATGGATAAAGAAACGTTTCTTTTCAAAGACTGATTTCAGAAAAGAAAATAGCAAGGGTTACTATTAAACCCAACGTGAACTTATTCCCTGAGGAATTATGGGTACCAGATAAGCGGTGGGAAGTTTCGCTTAGAGATCTGTGTAAGGATCTGCTTGCGGATGTGCAGCTCAAGCCTTTTGCCTTCTATGCTGAGCACCAAAGGTGAACACAGAAAACTTTCCTGGAAGTCTTGGAGCAAAGTAAGAGAAGAGACCCATTTACTCATGTTGATGATTCGCACTTCCTATGAGAGAGTGTCTTTTTGAGGTCTTGAACTTCTGCATGTGTTTGATTCCAACCCTTAATTAAACCCTGTGTGCCCGCTTTACTTCCTTGGGTTCCCACTTTCCCCCCAGCCTTGGCCTGTGTGGAACGTATTCACCTCACAGACACTTCCGATTACAAATTCTTTTCTGGTACTTGTAGTTCTTTCCAGTGACATTCTTAGCCTCTAACTGCTGGAAATGGAATATCAGTCCTTTCCTTTCTTTTCCTTTCCTGTTCCTTTCCTGTTGCCCTGTGTCTGATCACTGTCCAGTTTACTTCACCTGATGGAAGTGTTGAAAGACAGTAAGTAGTTACTGAAGAGTTCAGAATGTGCACACGACCTTTTCTTTGTGTCGTCCATCTCTCGTATCCATCTTCATCCTTCCACACCCAATGTGTTCTCCGATCCACACTGGCATCAGCGTTGCACTCGTTTATCTCCACTACTGACTGTAAGTGCTATTTCCTTAACACCTCCTGACCAATCCTCTTACTTTACTTACTGCTGAGTCTCCATATTCCTGCAAAAGCACCCAACTAATATGACCATGTCACTATCCCTCTTAAACGTTTCCTATAAGAAAAAGTCCAAGATCGTTAACATGCCATAAAGATGTACTTTACTGAACCAGTGCCTAGTTCAGTGTCTTTTCTCTCAGCCAATATTTATCCCAACTAAGAGACTACTAATAGTGTGCATCACATGCTGCTCTCCCAATCCATTCTCTTTCTTAACATCCTCATTCTAGAATGATTTTTCTACTTCTATTGACAACAAAATAAGAAGAGAACAGGGTGAGGAAGGAAGGGAGAGAGGAAGCAGGAAAAAATTGACATTCAGTATATTTGCTCCCTTTGTTAAGGGTTGCTATCTGTTCTGAAAGCAACACCATTTTTCTTTCTGATGCTGCTGTGGAAGTGTAACGAGTCACCAATCAGTCTTAGGGTAATAGGAGGGTGTAACTTGATGCATCTGTCTTCTTTGCTACCCTCTCAATAATCGAGTCCCCGTGAACTGGATGGAGATTCATGCTCAGATGCACGTTTCATATCCCGAAGCTGGAGACACTTCCCAGTTAACAATATTTCACTCTCTTGGCTCCCAATTTATTTCTATTCATTTCTACATAACTGTTTAATTCATTGAGATCCCATAATGCTGGAAAACCTCATCAACAAGTACTCTTCTTAGGAACTGTGAAAATCTACCCCAATAGAGGTTTGAGACATTGATCTCTGATATCTGAAGTTCTACCTTCCTGTTCGTCCTGGATATTAAGGAGAAAGATGGAAATGGGAGCACACATCAGAAGCCTGTCATGCAGTGAATCAACTGTACGAAGCCATTTCTGCTCATGAGAGGCCAAGGATAAGCCTGGCTAGTGAGGACTGAAGAAAGCTGTTTCCTATACAAAACTGACTAAACAAAGGAAGTTAAGGGTTTCAAAAACTGGGCTAGAGTTCAATAAGTCCAGAAAAAGAGTTCTAAAATTTAATAGCTATGCAGGAAGAAAAATAGTCATTAAGAAATGGAACAGAGACCATAAAATCTGGAATTCAGGGTGAAATAAGAAAAAAATTCAAAACTACAGAAATTAACATAAACAGCTAGTTGGACACATACATATATGTCTCGGGGAAAGTGATGGCAATTCAGCTAAGGTTCAGTTGCCCAAACCGATGTGTTCATAACCCTGTTGAAAAGTAATGTAACCAATGAATACTGCATAGGCTTGCCTGTGCCACAGTGTCTGAGAAAGTTTATACTGCATCAGACTTAATGGTACAGTCACATCATTGCCGTGCCTGAACTTAATGAACAGTATATATAAATAATCTAGCCACATTGCTAACTTGATTTTACTTGAATGTCCACAGGAAAAGGTCACAAAAATCAAGTATCCGTGCTTTATAAGAATGAAACCCATGAAGCACTCCCAGAGGCGGCTCAAGTAGTAACTCCGGTGGAGGCTCACAGCGGCACCTGGTTTACAACAACGCCTGAAGGAAACCGAATCGGTACCAAAGGACTAGAAAGGATAACAGATCTGGCCCCATTTTTATCCTTTCAGGCCACAGATCCTGTCAATGGAACGGTATGGCAAACGATCACGCATCACAAAAATGTCTTCATTTGAGTCCTGAAACAATGTGGAAGAATGTCTTGGGAAATCATGACGTTTTAAATATTTGTTAGGCAGAGAGTAAGTGGGTGAATGGCCGGATGGAGTCATCTTCCCCAGTCTAAAAGCATTGTGTGATATAACTGACAAACATACTGTTTTATGAAATCCAAATTGTATGTGGTGCATGTGTGTGTGTGTGTGTACCCGCACGTGTGTGCAAACAGCATACTTGTTCATACTTTGTTAGAACAAAATACTACTTTTTGAAGTGAGGGCCAGGTCATGGGTGTGGTTGTGGATTTTTGTCCTTTTTATTTCATTTCATTTATTTATTTATTCATCTTCACGTGAGTGTTTTTCCTGCGTGTCAGTGGACCCAGGTCATGCAATGATCACAGAGGCCAGAAGAGGACTCAGATCCCCTGGAACTGGAGTTATAGATGGTTGTTAGTCACCATGTGGATGCTGGGAACAAAACCTGGGTCCTCTGCAAGAGGAGCCAGTAATCTTAATCTCTGAGCCATCTTTCTTAACTACTAAGCAATCCCACCAGCACCCCATTCTTTGTTCTTGAAAACCTATCTCACTTATCTCAAGTTTGCCTCCAAGTCACTGTGTAGATGAGGAAGACCTTAATCTTCTGATCCTCCTGCTTCCACTTCCTGGGTTCTGGGATTGAAAATGTTCCCACCATGCTCTCTTTATTATGCGTGAGTTCCAACCCAGGGTTTTGTGAATATTTTGGATGCTCTCTACCAACGGAGCCATTTCAGCTGTATAGCCAGCCCAGTTTCAGTTATTTTG